CTCCGATTAGTTTTGCGAAAATTTGTTTCCAATCTTAATTTATTTTCTCCAATATGTGCGTGCGTGCGTGCATGCGTGCGCGCGCGTGTGTGTGTGTAAAATCTTTGATGTGTATAGGGGAAAGTGGAGGAATTGTGCGCAGCGGGTAATTGCGCGCATCCTGGTTTGGTACTTTTCCAATAGATGAAGGCATCACCATGGTGAAATTTTTACGCAGGAGGTCGTCCTCAAGATATAACTCCAAAAGATACGACGTAAATACATTGCTAGCCAGAGAAATGCGAAAAAGTGAAATCACATCTTTTCTTGTTATTTTAGCATTCAGAAAGTAAGGTGGTAGTATAAGTCCGTATTTTTAATTTGTTTGTTTAAAATTGCGTTATTAAAGTACGTTATTATGTGCACCTTTTGAGCTGTTATTTATTAAGTTTGATTAGGAATTGTTCAAGTAATCGTATTTCGTACCGAGTCAGATCGCGGCGGGCAACTGTGCGCAAGCGTTTTAAAATGCACACAATTACCCATCTTCCATATACTATATGACTCTAGCACTAATTTTTTCGTTTCTTCTTGGCATTACTATTTTATTTTGCAATTTCATTTTGCCAAAGTCTATGTGCATTAGTATTATATTAATTTTGTATTTTTTCTTAATATATAGGTATCAATATATATTTAAAATATGTTTAATATATATTTATATTGTAATATAATGAATATATTTTCTGATTCTTTGTCAACGTTCTACAAATTATTCATTTCTTACGACTTTTGTTTTGCGCACAATTACCCGACCGCGCGAGAAATTTTTTCGCTTTTTCGTTTTTTTTCCTTTTGATTAAATACAATATTATTGAATGAAAATCTGTTCGATATGAGGATACGTAATGGTAGAAGAATGTTTATAGTTTCTATTTCCATATCGCTTTAAACTTGGAAAATCATTCCCCAAGGCAATAAATTTCCCTTGGTGCGTATAGTTCCCCCACTTGTGCACTGAAAAAAATTGTAATTGTTGTAACTATCATAATTTATAATATAACTATAATTTATAATCATTTTTTATGCCAACTACATATTTTTTTTGTAGAATTATAGATATACACATAATTATTGTTACTAACATATGATATAACTATAAGTGGAACTCCCAACTGTAATTATTTTGCTATTATTAATTATGATCATAAATATCTAACATTCTTCTGTAATGTGTAAATATCTTTTTGCAGCAGAGAAACTTTTATATTTCTTGAACTACTGTATGTTATTTTAATAAAATGGATGCATACCAGCGAAGTACGATTTCTTCTTCGAGATATATCTCGCATAATTAACGTTTCTTATCCTTCTTCAGAGGAACAAATTTTTTTTACTAATATAATATCCACTTGTAATTACCCGTTAAGCAATAACGCGTGCAATAACGGAAGATGGCAAAATACGAGTAGAAATTGCGTAACAGAAAGTTATTTAAGAGCCACTTGTTTAGTCGAGCGGAGACGTTTTTGCCCCTCGTATCTTTACCGCGACGGCAAGAAATAAATTTCACTTGGAAAATTGATTTCTTCCTCGTGCGGTGTCTTCCTACTTGCGCCAACGTCTCGTCGACGATTACCCTGAGAATTTATCGAATCAGTAATAGCATCGGTAAAAGAAGCAAATCGGATTTTTCTGTTCGATCGCACCGCCAAGGTCGTCTGGGCGACGGTGGAGAAAGGAACGAAGGCGCCATTCAAAAGGCGCAATTACACGGGGCATCCACATGTTCTCTCTCTCCCTATGAATGTTATCGAGAGAATGACGACTACACGAAGAAGGTGATAAATTTCAAGAAAAAAAGGCACGCGCTTTTTATCTGGGTGCGCATGTTGCAGCATTGCGTAATGTGTCATCTAGGATTATAATTATACATTGAACGGCAACTCGAAGGATAAGTAAAACAATAAAGTATCTTACCTCCGCGTTTATACCCACCGGACACTCGAGAATCAACCGTGAGCTGCAATTTGCAATTGCAACGTACGCAGCTGCAAGATGCAACTCTGACAATGATATGTCAGCTGTTCATCTGCATTCTTCGATAATAATGTAAGTTTTTTTCATTTGATAGCAGGAAGCGATTATAATATCGAAGATTAAATTTTTAATCGACCGTGAAAAGTAAATAGAATCGAAATAGATTTTTATCTATTACGATATTGTTAATATCATAGCAACAATTTGTGTAGTGAGTTTTATAAATATTATAACATAAATCGTAATAGTCTTTTAAATATATTACAAAAGTTCCACAAAGTCTCTATACTTTTACAAAAATGTCAAATATATAGAAGAAAAAAGAATTTTACAATAAGTAAAGTTCAACATAAGTGTTGCACAACGTCGGAAATCCTTAAAAGCGTTATAAAAACGTTCGAAAGGGCTCATAAAGCTTACAGTTCTTTGTAAAACGTTCACTTTCATCGAGAAAAGTATTTATGACCTCCCGGAAAACTATACTGCTGAGTCTAGTTCTCCGTACTGTCGTTTTCATTCGTCCATTATGCTAAACATATATTGTATCTAAGATTTATTATAGAGAAAAAAGTTTGCTCTCTCTTAAAAAGTAAAAGAATAAAACAATAATTTAGAACTGTAATTGTAGCAATGTTAGTACTTTAATAATAAAAAAGTTACAACTAATTAAAGGAGATTTGTTTGTAATTTTTGTAAGACGCTTTTAGGAATTTATTTTAATTAAAGCTTCTGACCATAAGATATTTAGATTGATGACGTCAGAAGTAAGAAAACACAATAAGATTTTTTGTAAAATATATTAAAATAGAAATATGTTTCAATAAATCAATATTTACAATAAAACAATATTTGATGGAATATATTTGTATATAAGATATATCGAAAATTCTTCTTTTATCTTAGAGTAGAATAAAATTATATTTATTTTCGACAGCCATCATGTACCTTATTTCGCATTTAGTTTGACACAATTCAGTTCCAAATATATGGATTACTCATTCATTAATTACCAGAACACAAGGGTAGTTTTTAGTATATCTTATAAATTTATTCTATTGATTGCAAATTGTTTTATTAAAAAATGTTTACATTTTAATGTAATTTTTATAACAATTTTCTTTATGTATTCTCGCTTCTTACATTATAAGATGCTTTCAGTGAGTAGGTAAGAGTCGGCCTTAAAACAATTTAATCAAATGTAACCGATTTGTTTTTATATATTTAAAGATCAACGAAAAAATATAATGTAATTTAATATTCTAAAATTTATTATATTGCACGATGTTTGCGAGCTTACAATTTGAATGCAACAATCATATGTTTAATTTCGTCATATGTTAATTTTACTTAATGCACGAATTCGAAATAGAGCGGAGATGACATCAAACGTATATCATGTTATAATGCGTTTGTCACAGCGATCTTGATTTTCACAGATGAGAATCGTTTAATATATCATCAAAAGAGATCAGCAAGTTATTTTGGGAACACTTTCGGTAATAGTGCCAACAACCTTCTACATCCTCGCCATTCTCTTGTTAAAAGCGCGGACGTTCCATTGGAAAATTTCCAAAACGTCTTTCACAGTGTCGCATGTTCGTCGATCGTATCGAAATCTGATCGTAAAACTTCGTTTTCGCAGTTGTCGAACATTTCCTATCTGTTAAACTCTCTTCTGAAGCTGTATCCGTTCATGAAACGATCGCGGGAAGCGCTGGCAAGAAAATAAATCCAAAAATATAAAAAAAATGTTCATGTAATTTTATTTTATCAATCATGATGTTTTGAAAGACGACAGTATTTCTCTATTAAGTACCTAATTTAAGAATCTGTGCATTTTTTCTCTACTATTTGTTGTGAAGATAAATTATGAAGTTTAACTCGAGAATGGAGAATCCGTGTCTGTAGTTAAGCATATCTCCAAAGAAAAATTATAATTTCTCTATGAGAAGATAGAACAAATGGCGGCAATTGTTCCAAATGGTGGGATTTCTAGCTTTTTAATTTTTTCTTTATATTTATCTCTGTCAGACCGACATACATCATTCTCGATAGATATGATAGATCTGTGCGTTTGGTTGCATATATTGAGACTGCGCTGGTACTTTCTCCTCTTAATTCTAAGCTTCCTCGATCTTTGTCCCGTCTTTTACCATATCGAAATATGACAAAAAGACGAGATAAAGGTCGAGAAAGTTTAGGATTACGAGGAGAAAGTATCGGCGCACTCTAATGCAACCAAACCCATGGATCCGTCAAACGAGAATAATATACGTTGATATTTTAACTGAAGGACATAAATATAAAGAGAAAGAAAATGAAAAGATTAGAAATTCCATTATTTGGAACAATTACTGGCATTTGTTCTACTTTCTCATAAAAAATAATTTTTCTTCAGGATATTAATTAAACAGAAAGACTATCGAGACAATTAAAAATTTGAATTGAAATCAGAACTGAAGTTGAAAATACATGGAAAAACGATTTTGCTGAAGTATCAAAAAAAACTAGATTTAAATATAATTTTGTCTCCGATTATTAAAATAATTATACAGAATGCTTAAGCGTTGACGAAAAAGATTTAACATTCTAGAAATCAATTTAATTGTCCTATATAATTATTTCAATGGTCCAAACAAAATTATTTCCAGATCTATACCTAGCCAAATCTTTTAAATACTTCAGCGCAAGAACATTCTTTCTGTGTATCATAAAAAAATTATTCCGTATAATAAAATTATTTTGCAGTAAAAAAATTATGTAATTCGTAATCATACTTTATATTTATATTTATTATATAATTTCTACATTGCATCTATCCTCTTAAATTATCTAAGAACCGGTTTTATTAACGTCGAGTAAGTAATTTCAACTGAGATTTAATTGATTCTCTGTGTTTGTACTCTTGACGGAGACAACTTTAATTGGCATAAATTGATTACGGATATCATTCCTGTCATTGTTCATTTGTCAGATAATTCAAGAACGTCATATTCAGTCGCTACATTTAGGTTATACTGACAGGGAAATTTACCGACAATTTGTGTTAATAATTAACGATTTAATGGTGAGTCGAGCCGAAAATAGAGAATCGATTAGGGAGAAAGATGAAGCCGAACTGGAGCTTCACAGACTCCGAGAAGTTGCCAGGCTTGCGGCTATGCATTACAACGGCGAAAGAGAGTTTCAGAGAAGATTGGACCTTTCGCATGTCGTGCACGCTAGTTTACACTTTGTTCAACTTGTAAGGGATCGAACGTGTTGAAAAATTTACATCGCTCGTGAGACGGACGTAACTTAATCTTCTCATATGTGCAAAATGTTTATTCCGGAGAACTGAAGCCGATAGTAGGAAGTAATTACGCGTTATTTTCAATGTGTGAAAAATATAATTAACCTTCCGTCTGCAATCATATTCTTATTCCCTCGGTCTGCAATCTGGATCTTTTCATAAAATTAAAATTTTTTTACTGCTCTGGATTTTCAAATATATGAAAAAATTTAAGATTACTTTTCAACATCTCTACTTTTATTACATAATTATTAAATAATTTTTTCGATTATTTTAGGAAGGAGAATCGGAATTAGCACTTTTTTATTTCAGAGAAAATTGAGAGTGAAACTTTACTTGTAAAAAAAGACTCAGATTGTAGATGGAGAATTAAAAAGAAAACAGTACAGCCTTGGCCATACGTATATGTATAAAGCTCCCTCAAAAATTGACATAAACATTTTGTATTTAATGAAAAATAAATTAAAAACCGATATTATCAAAAAGTAATATTTATTTTTATAACGATTTCAATATTTCATTTTTTTTTTATTTTTATTATTGTTAGTATTTTTTTGAGGGAATAAATTAAGGGTGTTCATACTTACTGCCACAGTTGTGTCAAAAGATATACACATTTATATTGTAAGAAGTGTAAGACCAAATAACTGCATTCGTTATGTATTCTTATATGTTATTGAATCGTTAGGTAAAGTAAATTTAAAAATATTCTTGCACACGTACAAAATAAATGCATCATAGGAATATAATATTTCGTTATCGCCTCTTGTACACGATAAAAAACATGACACGTAATATCTAAGAAAGCACATCGCTGTCGTTACGTGCTTCCATCCCAAGATAAAATAATTTTATGCTTGAAACAATACGACCGACCTAGTTTTTCGATCGGAATTTCTTGCCGTTTGCGTTGTGATTCAGTATAACGATAATCGTGACATTGATATTTTTATTATGTAATCGGATACGACATGTGCATCGAACATTGGACACGCATCAGACATATTTACGCATGAACACGCGTGCCAACGCCGTGTACTCCGCGAATTTTAATCGCTTCAGGAAGAAAACCGGCGGCTCGCCGCAGTATTCAATTACCCGCGTTCTATTTCAGCTGATGGTTTTGTCACGATCGGTGGAAACCTGTTAAGAGCATCGTTAGCACAATATATAACAGCGAATATTGAGAATCTTTTGAGTGCTATGAAAACTGCAGTTTACTCAGAGTCTTTTTTTATATTAGTATTTTCTTCTCGTAACCTATATTTATTTAAATTAAATTAATTTTTGCTTGATTTGTATTAACAATAATAATATGATAAGGTATTAGGCTAATTTTAATGAGTAAGATAGATGGTAGTTTCTTTAAACACACACACACACACACACTTCCAAATATAATATATATATATATATTTAGAATAAATAATAAATGAGAATAAGACCGACATATGAAAAAATCAAGTAAGAAGAAATGCTAACTATGGTCAAAGACGTATAAATGTGACTATATATACATATATAGATGTTGGAATAATAATTCTATATAATATACATATGTAATTTTTTTTATTTTAAATACATTTGCTTTTCGGTTGTTTGCGCGCCGATTCAGGACTTGTAATCAAAATGAATTGAAATAATAATAATAATAATCACAAATTAAATTTGATCATCAATTTGAAATAAATTTGAATTAAATTACATACAGAATTATTATTCCAACATCTAACTTTGACCATAGATGGTTTGGTTCTTTTTACTTAATATATTTAAAAAATTATTTGTTTATTAATTAGCTTAATACTTTATCATGTTACTATATTTATTTATTTTTCTATATTTATTTATTCATATTACTATATTTTTATTTTTATTGAGGAAAGATATTTCTGTGTGTATGTTGTATTTATTTTTATTACTGACAATGAGAGTATTTTCGATATTTTTAGATTTACTTTACCAATTTTGATTGCTTGATAAGCATGTCGGAAATATTACGATGAAAGATCTTTTTAGGTGATGACGTCGGCTATCGAAATTTTTCATCACGTGCATCACTATATGAATCAACGTGCGCGAGAAAAGGACGACACGATCCCGTTGTTGCCAGAGGAAAGAAATCCTATTTTCTTCGTATATCCCATTTGCATGCTACTGAGTCTTGTTTTTATGATCCTCTGGCTTGTTAGAAAAATAGTTCCCGATAGGCCTATGATAGTAAATTTTTTTCCAAAATTGTTAAATGTATAAAATATAGACAACAAATTTCTTTACAGCGATTAATTACAATGGATATAATTCTTGACACAGTTTCAAAAACATTACAACTGAAAAACTTATGTTAAATTTAATAAATTTTACGTATCTCAAACGATTCAAACAAATTTTGTGTTAATTTAACATAAGATGAATGTGTTAAAAAACAAACATTAAAATTAAAATAAAAACACACTTTAACACAATTTGGAAACAATAATTTGGCAACATATTTATTCAATAAAATTAGCATTTACTATATGTTAAATTAATATATGTATATTTACCTTTTATTTATTTATTTAACAACTTAAATTTTAAAATTATATTATTTCTATGTTACTCTTACTTTTTATATTTTGTTCATTCATTTATAAATTGTTTTATTTTAACACTAAAAAATGTTACCAATTTAAAATATTCAAATAACATAATCACATAAGTTAACTCAGGTATGTTAAAAATTAAATACATTATATATAAATTTTAACAAAGACTGGTTTTAACACAAGTACAAAATGTTTTTTACTGTATATCTTTGGAACACTAATGCACAATTCGAGCTCTCTCTCTCCAGTAATAACAATTATATCTCATCACTGATAAAATGACAAATTTCAATTATAAACTCAATATACACATTTCTCATTTCGCAGAATTAGTTGTCACAATACAGATATAATAAATAAAATTTTAACTACGCTATATTAAATAATTATGCATTGCTGTGAAAATAAACCTGTAAGCCTCTCACAATATGCGCAGCAGGAGCTATTCTGATGCTCGTGACAGGAATAATGGAGATGAAACACGCCGATATGTACATCGACGTTACCGAATTTACTGACGAAGAAATACTGGAGCATCCTGTCTTTATTCACAACTTTGTAATGTGCATATTGTCGATCTTCGTTATGATTCTGTACCTAATTCAAGCGTGGGTTCTTTTCGACCAATGGCAGTGGGTGCGTGAACATATAAACAATTATTCATTATTACATATTATATAAGATGTATATCTTTTTTTAAATTATTAGTTTCATTTATAATGTATTTTTGTTATGACGTTTCGTAAAAATTAACATAATTTACGTAATTATAAGTCATAATTATTCTTCAGAAGAATAATGGTTCATGATTTTGTAGAGAATTTGAGATATTGAATGACTACGATTATTAATTTAATAATACGATTAATAATACTTTTATTAAAACTACAGTTTAAATAATTTTTTCAGTAACCTGCACAATCTTTTTTAATCTCTCTTAAAATTCTTAATTAGATCAGTACAAAACGTAAATATTTGTGGTTTTAGATTCGAAAGGAACGAGATACAAGTACATCAGATGTGCGAAGTTCTGAGTCTAGTATAGATAGCGACGAAAGTGATTATTCTATAGAAGAAAAGATCGATAAACACGATGCTGGAAAGCAGATTAGTGAACTGGTACCAATTCCTGCCTTGGAAGAATTGACCGCCCTCGCTGCGATCTCCGATAATGCTGTAAGAATGGTTTAAGAAATTTACTGTTTATTTACAATTCTATCGACGCCTTGGATTTTGATACACGCCATATTTTTCTGCGTTGAATGAAAAAGGAGTGTTTTGTATAGGGGGAACACCACTGTGAAATTTAAAAAAAATCGAAAAAATTTTTTCCTTTTAAATGATGCTTTAGAGTCTTTAAAATAAGATGCGGTATCTAGATCAGGGGATCCCCCTCCAACGACCTTGACTTTGACATATGTTGTCAACGCGTACAAGAGTGTGCTCGTAGAGTCTCTGAAAGTGCTTTTTTTTAAATAAAGCTATTAATAGTTAGTTTCTGTGATGCATATTCATTTCCTGCATTTTATATCTTGCCGAAACGCGGATATATAGAAGATCTTAGCACTACTCAACATTACTGAACACTCAACACTTCTGCACTACTACAATAGTGTAGTAGTGCTGTAATACAGTAGTGCTTCAAAATACTCGTAGTGCTCAGCACTTTTCTACAAGGGCTGAGAAAGATAAAGATCGATAATTTTTATAACTCGTAATAAAAATTCAGAAAATTGTATTTTCTCTTTAGGATATGGATGACGAACCGATACTTTATTGCTGTTTCGTCGACTGGTACAATTATGTTAAAATGAAAATGGAAAGCAAACCAAAACATGAGTTTCAAGTAATCCATGTCATATGACGTGTCTGGAATTTTTAAATAAAAATTATTAATAATTTATTAAATATATCAAGAATAGTGATTGCTGATACATTGTTTTTGTCGCTGCTTTTCTGGAAGTCGTTGAATCAGAGAGAAACCTGAAAGAGGACGTGAAAACCTTTTTTCTGTAACCACAAAGTACCGCCGCGCACTACTGCCCTCTGAAGAAGTGGATGTAAACTACACAACAATATCCATTTTTTTGTGGTGCTTCTAATGGAAATAAATCACTAAAATAATTAAAATATATCAAATTAATTTCAGGTTTCTCTCTGCCTGTATACATAGTCAGATCTTATATTTAAGATCATTTTAAGTACAGTCTTAAGATGTCGCATGAACCAATCAGAAAGCCGTATTAGCATCTTAGAACATTATTTAAGATGGTCTTAGGTTTGTTCGCCTTGCTTACACTTTTTTTACATTTTTTACACTTAAAATGAGATAGATATATGTTTGGCGCTGAAAAAAGAGAAAGCAAAGATCCTAAGTGTAAAAAGTGTAAGCAAGAACAGACCTCTTAAAGGCTATGTTCCAAAGTTCATTGCTAGTGCTGAAAATGTATAGTATACGTAACGTAAACTGTAGATTTTCAGCGCTGGTAGTGAATTTTGGAGCACAGCCAATAAGAACCGACTATTGGCTGCAGCACAGACTCTTGTCTAACGCATAATGCATAGTACATAAGGGAATTAATCGAAATTTTTTTTCATGGAATGGGAAGAAAAGAAAGATTCTGATTGGTTGATTCCCTTATGCACTATGCATTATACATTATGTAAGAGTCTGTGTTGCAGCCATATGAATATCGGCCTTAATGTCTATTGCACACTGAATACGATGAGAGATGAGCGACGAGCGATATTCAATAAGAATTCTGTTTTGTATCGTCACGTGCAAAAAAGTAGAGCTTTCACGATTCAAAGCCTATATGTAATGTAAGATTTATTTGTTAATACCTTTAAAATATCTAATTTTAATTATATGGTTCAAAGTAACATTCAAATATAGGACAAGAATTCCTGAAACGTGACGGACCAATCAATGCGTTACCTTATTATGTTGCAATTTGCAATTTGAATAAAGTTAGAATTCTTCTAATTGTAAACAAACTACATTTAATTTAAAGTTGTAAAAAAAATTTAAAGAATCAACCTGTAGAGGCTCTCCATCATTCTAGCCAATTTTTAACGGCGGTCCTCTTTTCCTCAGCAAACACCAAGTTACATACATATAATAATTAATATAACTGTAGTATAACACACGTACCTAATATATTACAGTTCTTATGGCAAATTACAATTAATTGTAAAAGGTACGTACATTACGTGTAACTTGAGATTTCCTGGATTTGAATGCCTTTGTTATGTATTACATATGAATTTAATATTTTCATGCAATGTATTTGTATTTGATACCAAAATAAAAAAAATGTAAAGAAAGAATTATAATATACAAAGTAATCAAACAAGACAATATAATAAAATATAATACAACACAAAAAAAATTGACTTAAATCTTTTTAATATAAAATACATAAATTGCTTATACATTTTTACAATTAACATTTCCGCTTATATTTATAAAATACCTCGTATACAAAATGCATATTATAACACAAAATTCGCGTATACATATAAATATATATATTTCAAGAAAATTCGAATTATGATTCTGCAATAACAATTTTTACGTTTTTACTTAATAAATCTTTTAATGATACAATTTATTAACATATTCTTAAACAAAAATTTCAATTTCGCATCTCCTACTGTGGAAATAAAAAGAATAAATAGAAGAAATATACTGATCAAAGAATTGGAAAGAATACGGGCGTTATGAGTCAGGCGCAGAAGACGCGCAAATAATACACTTATGAAGCTTGAAACTTCTTTATTCAACAAACGCGCTTACATGTTTCGGATCATTTTTGAGCCTTCCTCAGAGCAAATATAAACTAACATATATAAAAAAAATTTTTAAATGCACCTGACTTCTAACGTCAGTATTCTTTCCAATTCTTTGATTTATAAGGAGTCTTGGTTAATTTGATTTGTTATACGAAAAATACTGATGTTACATAAGTAAAAAAATGATATTTACCGCAATGTTGCTCCGTCGGTGCTCGATGCCTCTCCCAAACCTCCTCCTCCTCTCAGAATTGGGTTGACATCTTCTCACACAGGACACTCGCGAATAATAAACTAATTATTTATAAAAGTCTTTCGCGTCGAACTAGAATTCCATCGAATGAGCTTTGTGAAAAGTCTATAATTAGTCCGATAACTTCAACGGCACTCTCGAAGCAAACGCGCGACGCGATGAACCGGCTACGATTCGTTCACTTTTAATTAAATCGGCGACGAAAATACGTAGCTTCGTCGTTGTATTTTTATATGAAGAGAATGACTTTACTCAAGTATCTAAAAATTTACCTAAATATAACATTCAGATAGATCCGAAAATTTTTAGATGCTTGAGAAGAACCGTTCTCTTCATGTATATCCTCCGGGGAGCCCTCTCACCACGTCAAGGTCGTACCCATAAAAGGGAAGATATCATTTGAAAATGTAATATATAGCTATTATCTGTATTACTAAACTGCAATTAGTTAACTTTTAGAAATGAATATCAAACACATGTCAATTCATCACCATTGCAAAATAAATTCAGAGCAGATAAAAGCGCTGAATCTAGCTCTTATTACGATGTCTGTAAGATATAATTAGGGTCAATGGAATGTACTATATAGAGATTAATAAAAAAGAGGAATATTTTTTTTATTACCGACAAATAGTTGCAAAAAGTTACACTCAATTTTTTATTGTATCACGAAAGATGCACAAAAACGAAAAATTAATTAAATTATTAATTACACAAACTATATATTAATGTCGTTCCTAAATATCGCGAAATAGTAATAAATTTTGTTTTCCATCGCGTTTTGATTGCAAACGAATGTTTGAACCATACGAAATATTTGTTCCATGATGATACATGATTGTCATCTCGATCTTTTTATGAATAATTAATCGTGCGAGCTAATAATCGTACGATATACTGTGAGTATTGCTAAAGTACGTTTCGTATTATATCTAGCATTTTTCGCGATTACGTTTCAAAAAGAAATGTGAAGATGAGCGGCATGCGACAAGGATACCTACCTGTACGAGCCTTGGTAAAAGAATGACTGCACGCGGTGACTGCACATTAAAACGTGACGCGCCGCGCCACCCCGTGCCACCCGTTCGCCCTCCCGCGCCAAAACAATCCCCAAGGCCGCGCGCCGATCATCTTATTGTGGAAATATTAACGCATATTACAAAGTAAGTAAAAAAAAAAAATAATCTATAATTCGTTACATTTTTAATATTCTCCGATTAGTAGGCTTTAGCTTTACATGAATATCTTATAGATATTTTAATTGTATTACGATAAGCTATTATTAATTTGTAATAACTTTTTATTATACGAAATCCGCGCAATGAACATAACATTTTTAACTCTTAATGAAAGATTGATGCCTTGCGGCTTTTTGTTACTTTCGAATTTCGAATCGTTTAATTCTATCATTCTCGTGTCTTATTTTTAGTCAAAAAAATTGAGTCGGAAAATCCTGTACAATTTTCGCAATGGTTGACGAAATATTAATTTCTAAATATTGTCAAATAAGCGCATATCCGACTGTCCAATCATTAAACTATCACAAAAATTGCAAAATGATAGAGAACTTTTCGATTCAATCTTTAATCAGGAATAGATATGATTAGTGTCCGCTATTTAAAAAACACCTTGTATATTATTCTATTTAGAATAATATACATAATTTAGAATAATATACATAATTGAGTAAAGATTGATATAACATATTATCAATCTTTACTTATATATAAATTATTAAAGAGAGCAATAAAAATCGTTGGGATGTCAGAAACATTTCACGTGAGCAATTATGTATTATAAAACAATCACGTTAGCAAACTACTTTTTACCTCTTGCCTTTTGTCAGCACATTAGTCGACAAGAAATATTTGAAATTCTAAAACAAATGTCAAATATTTTCATCAGTATACCACGATATAATGGTAGTTCACATATAACTTGCACCGCTAAAACTAAAAAGTTATAAGCTCCGAGAAAATCGATATAAGAAATTTCTTTCCGCGACGAAAAAATACTAATTTAAAATTATACTTTTTTTCACTTAATATAAAATCAAGTTATCTATATACTAATGTACAGGGCTTAGTCGTATATTTAAAAACAAATTATATATATTTAAAATATATACTTTTAATAAAAAAGACAAAGGGAGTATTTAGTATTTATCATTTTAAATAACTTCTTCTGGTTTACTTCTTAAGTAATATTTTAAATAAGTTTTCGGAACTTATTTTATATTTTTTAAATAAGTTAGGGGATCGGTCAAGTATTTAAAACAATTTTATTTAAAATATGTATTTTATAAATAAAAATAATAAAATAGTTATTTAGTATTTATTATCTTAAAAAACTTTGTCTAACTTATTCTTTATTTAATACTTCAAATAAGTTTTTGGAATCTAAAGTATAATATTTTGTGTTATCTGCATTGGTATAGTATTTGTCACAAATATGTTTCAAAAAAAATTATGTGAAGAAGAGCGGCATGGCTACCTGCCTATACGAGTGTCGGTAAATGAATGGCCCTACACGGTGAACGGTAAATGCGCGTGAACTGTGAAAACATGTCGCGCCATCCGCGTCAAAACCACAGACTTCTATATACAGTGAGATCAACAAGTATATTCGTACAAGGAAATTTGTTATAAAAGAAGTCTTATTTATAGAAAATAAACATTAATTAGCAATTTTATACAATGAATACATTCTGTTTTAACATAAACAAACGAGCTTCGCATGTATGCCTGATTTTAGAAGCTAAATTTCTCGTTTGTACGATTACTTTTTGAGCATTCAAAGCTATACAATTTTTAATT